TGATACCTCAAATACTTTTTGAGATAAGCTCCGGACAAAATAGTATGAAAAAGAACAAAGGCCAATAACTAAAAAATTGTACAGGGAAGAGTTATCATTCTTGTGCACAGCATTCCTCCTCAATAAAATCTATCCACCTATGACATTTCATGTTGACATCTCAAACACTTTTGAGTTATGCTCCACTCGGGTGAAAAATTAGGTATGAAAAATAACAAAGGGCAATAACTCTAAAATTATGAAAGGTAGAGTTATCATTCTTGTGCACTGCACACCTCCTGAGTGAGATCTATGCACCTATGAAGTTTCATTTTGATATCTGAAAGGCTTTTTGAGTTATGCTCTGGACAAAAATTAATTTTGAAAAATAACAAAGGGCAATAACTCAAAAATTATGCAGGGTAGAGTTATCATTCTTGTGCACTGCACTCCTCCTCAATGAGATCCATCCACCTATGAAGTTTCAAGTTGATACCTCAAATACTTTTTGAGATAAGCTCTGGACAAAATAGCATGAAAAAGAACAAAGGCCAATAACTCAAAAATTGTATAGGGAAGAGTTATCATTCTTGTGCACAACATTCCTCCTCAATAAGATCTATCCACCTATGACATTTCATGTTGATATGTCAAACACTTTTTGAGTTATGCTCCACTCAGGTGAAAAATTAAGTATGAAAAATAACAAAGGGAAATAACTCAAAAATTATGAAAGGTAGAGTTATCATTCTTGTGCACTGCACACCTCCTGAGTGAGATCTATGCACCTATGAAGTTTCATGTTGATATCTCATAGGCTTTTGGAGTTATGCTCTGGACAAAAACTAATTTTGAAAAATAACAAAGGGCAATAACTCAAAAATTATGCAGGGTAGAGTTATCATTCTTGTGCACTGCACTCCTCCTCAATGAGATCCATCCACCTATGAAGTTTCAAGTTGATACCTCAAATACTTTTTGAGATAAGCTCCGGACAAAATAGCATGAAAAAGAACAAAGGCCAATAACTCAAAAATTGTATAGGGAAGAGTTATCATTCTTGTGCACAACATTCCTCCTCAATAAGATCTATCCACCTATGACATTTCATGTTGATATGTCAAACACTTTTTGAGTTATGCTCCACTCGGGTGAAAAATTAAGTATGAAAAATAACAAAGGGCAATAACTCAAAAATTATGAAAGGTAGAGTTATCATTCTTGTGCACTGCACACCTCCTGAGTGAGATCTATGCACCTATGAAATTTCATGTTGATATCTCATAGGCTTTTGGAGTTATGCTCTGGACAAAAATCAATTTTGAAAAATAACAAAGGGCAATAACTCAAAAATTATGCAGGGTAGAGTTGTCATTCTTGTGCACTGCACTCCTCCTCAATGAGGTCTATCCACCTATGAAGTTTCAAGTTGATTACTCAAATACTTTTAGAGATATGCTCCGGACAAAAATGTCGGACGGAAGGACGGACGGACGGACGGAAGGTCGGACGGACGGAGACTATTTCTATATCCCCCGCCGCCTTTTCGGCGGGGGATAAAAAAGGGGGGTGTCGAAAGTGCTTTGTTTCGCGTATATTTGGTAGAGGGTTAAGTCGCTTCTTACAATCACGCAGTGTCGTGCTCTAGAGCGAAATATAGTTTGATCTTATATGTACAACACACGCATGTTCTGTTAGTTTCTTGCCATTTTAGCGATTTAAAAGTAATTTTGACTGATTTGGCCGCATAACTTCATGCGCTGTGTTTCATGTTGTTATGACATCTTGTTCATGTTGAAAAATCATAATGTAAACTTATCGAATTTTGTTACAATTTTAATATGTCGTGGGTAAATATTTATGTACTTCTCATAATTATGATTTCAAAACATTTTAATTACGATAGAGTGTATTTTTAGGGAATTTCCAATTCACTTATCATGTTTTTCATCCACATACAAATATAATTGGACCACAGTGAAATTGTTTAATTTCACTATCTACTGAAAAGCATGAGATAAGATAATCTAAAAGACTAATCAACTTTTTGAAAATTTATCAGTAGATATTCTATCATTTTTGTTTGTTTTGCTATCTCTCTGAAAAAGAATATGCACATTTTGTAAAATATGAACACGTTGTATGTTCTATTATATTATTTAGATCTTCAATAAATTATTTATGCAATTATGATATTTATTTCATTGAAACATATTTATAATTTCTCTCTGTTCTTATTAAGTTACAAAGATAGTCACCAAAGAATCGTTTTGGGTAGTACCAACTATATATCAAGTGTAATGGAAAGGTAATTATAGCATGTATCCTTAAACATATGCTAGTTAAGAATGATGTCATTGTATGCCTTTTTATCCATTATATGTTTATTGTATGCCGTCCTATCCATTTTTTATTTATTTTATGCCTTCCTTCTTACCCATTATTTGTTGTTTTTTTGCGTTTTGAAAAGTCTAAGACGTAAATCTATAGAATAAACTGGTCAAATAAAGTCATTGCAATACTTAACAATGCAGTAATCAGTATTTCAAATGTCGTTTTGTCATTCGATAAAGTTTACTGAACAATAATACACAATAATACTCAAGGTAAAAACATAAACGCATATTTACTTGTTAAGAGTAGGCCTATCGGAATAACATATTTATTAATTGTTGTGTCCGTCCGACTAGTTGCCTTGGTAGCAGCAAACAAAGTAGACTGTATGATTAGGAAAACATGTTACGGTCTTGCCAACCCAATAGATATAGCAGGAAAGTCATGCTGATCTAATGGTGATAAGGGGACATTATGCTGATGTCTGCGATGTTTCCCCACATTATACATTTTCACCCTGCAATTGTCATCAAGTAAAAAGCGAAATCTAACGAAGGTTATCATCTTAAATCTAGTAAGCGGCCTTTAGTCCATTACTGACTCAATTTGTCTATAAATGATACAACTGTACCACTGTTTAAAAACATAATCATAGTTAATAGCTTTCTACAATCATTTAGTCATATACATTTGAAGGGCATAAGGAAAACACAGAACATCGTCTTACACACACACTTTATTTTTTTATAAAAATATATACAAGGTTTCCATACATACTACTAATTATGATAAGTCTAATTTGGTTTAACTAATTAAACGACTCGTTTAAAGGAGCTTCAATAGTCTGAAAACATAATAAATGATTTTTTTTACACATGTGGTTCGTAAAACGGAAAAATAAACAAACTAAAAAAATAAAAAGAAATTTACTGAGAATTAAAATGTAAATCGTTTTTTCGTGGGATTCTAAGCCCTATGTAAAACGCTTTTCTTTTTACATATTGTACACATTTGAAGGACTGAAATTTTACACACAGGTCATTGCTTCAGGGCTTCATCAAATAATATAGAAATAAAAGAAATATTTTCAGTCCCAACATGTCAAAAAACTATTTGGAGCCCCTTGAATGAGCTGTCTGTTCAATAAGAAAAAATGTCACATCAGTGTATTAGAGAGATAAAAAGTATTGGAAACAAAATGTGTATTTGCTTAGTTATACGAAAAAGAATTGTGAAAAAATCTTACAAATACTCTTTAAATTATTTAAACATGATATGAGCCGTGTCACGACAAAACCAACATAATGGGTTTGCGACCAGCATGGATCCAGACCAGCCTGCGCATCCGCGCAGTCTGATCAGGATCCATGCTGTTCGTTTACCAACCCTATTACAAGTAGAGAAACTGATACCAAACAGCATGGATCCTGATAAGACTGCGCGGATGCGCAGGCTGGTCTGGATCCATGCTGGTCGCAAACCCATTATGTTGGTTTTGTCGTGACACGGCTCATATATTCATTTAAAAAGACATTGAATAAAAACTTATTATTAAGATGGCATTACGTATAGATAATGCAGGAAATTAGAAACATTAAGGAACCTAGAAATGTCAGGGAAATTATAAACATAGAAAAAACAACACTGAGAAAATTGGAAAACTTAAAAGTAATTATAAGAAATTGAAAAAAGAGTAATGATAAACATGGAGGGAATTTTTAAACACGTGCAGTAAATAAGAAACATGGAAGTCAAAAGAAACATGGTGGGTATTAGAAACAAAAAGGAAATTAGAAACATGGATGACATGACATCATTTTTATTATTGAAACAAAAATGATTCGATATCATTACTGCATAAATGAGAATATGTATTATTATCATGATATTCTACAATAAAATGATTGCAATTATATAAATCAAAACAAGAGAGAGACAAAGCTCTAGGCTATTCACATTGCTTATCCCAAACAAAGATACCTAATTAGTTAAAATATACTTTAATTAGTATCAGACAGAAACCTATAATCATTATCTCGAAGACATATGAAAAACGCTTTACCTTAATTTTTCTTAGACCTCAAAATCCATGCCAGCGTCACGGCATTGAACAGTGACGAATTCATCTATTGGCTAGGTATCGAAATATGATTTAGAAAAAAAGCAAAAACAAAAACCAGAAACAATAACAACAACTTTCAATTATGTATTACACTAACGGACACCCTGTCGGGGTTAGATGATAGCTAGCTATACTTTTTTTTCAAAAAGTCGCACTAAAGAATATGAATACTTACGTTCAGTAAGTTATTTAGTTTCATAACTAGAATAATACTAGTTAAAAAACCAATTAACACCCAAAGACAACAATCTAACAAACTATAAGCAATTAGAATTAAGATCAAGTATCAATGCTAAATATACCTGTTCTGTTTCTATATAAAAAAAATTCTATTTCTAATATAAACCTCTTTCCTGTCATACACTGTCACAAAATAATCAATAATATGAAAAAAAAACAGCAGTTGGTTATATAAACTGCCAAAAACCAAGCAACAAACACTTATCTATATTATACTAGCAACAACAATAAAACAATAAAAAAAACAACAAAAAAACAACACCAAAAAACGAACATTAAACAAACAAACTAACAACAACAACAACAACAACACCAAGACAAAAAGCTAAAGAACGAAAAAAAAAAAAAAAAAAAAAAAAAGAAACACCAACACTTAAGCACGGTTTCACAATGCAGTAAAAACAACCTCTATTAAGACCACTGATGGGACTGATCCAAAGCGGTGTTGAATGCAGGGTAGTCATAATTTTGGATACTTTTATCACTTTATCTTTTGATGATCAAAGTCTATTTTGGTCATTAAGTATAAACATGTTCAAACAATATGTATAATCACGTTCAAACACTTTAAAGTGTTTCTACTGTATACGCATATATTCGTTCAATAGTCTTTCTAACATAATATCTAATTAATATACGATTGGAACTGCCTCGGACATATCTTTAATACCCTCGGAAACAATACGGAGTGAAAGTAGTTATACCACGTGGTTTCAGATGTAAACATAAAAAGAGAAAGATGTAAAAGGAATGATCATATAATTGACATCCAAAAGAAAATTAAGTTTGTTTCGGTACAATTTTGATTGAAAATATTTGAATATGCCCACTGATGTACGATTTTAAACACATGCGACTGGATGTCAACAGGTTGGCATTTTGTACTTTCGGTTTCTGCAACCATAATAATAAATATACAAATAATGTATTGTTTGCTTTTGTATCTATGAATTCACTTATTTTAGGTGGGCATTTACTCGATATATTGTAAATAAACTTGTCAACAACTCCCAGCATTAAATTACCATTTTTTACATGTCTAGTTTCTTAGCGTAAGTACGACCGAAATACTGTATCCGTTCTGTGTGTTCATACTATTGTGTTCGAGGTCCTAATCCGAAGACTGACGGAAAGGGCCGAACAGTTGCGATTGATTAATAAATAGTTAAAACATAATTTGAAAAAAACAAAAACACTTTTGTTGAACAAAGTAGAAGGGAAAACAATTATTGCACTTAAAAATATAAAAACTCCAGTTTTTATGTACGTCATATTGGGGGACCAAAACAGCTAGATATTTAAAATAAAAATTGGCATTATTGTCTCTATACACTAACGAAACCACTTCGGTGGCACAAAGTTAACATGGGTGTGTTTTTATTTATATCGTGCGCACGAGATACTATGTCGTGGCCTCGAGATTCTAAGTCGTGGCCACGATATAAATAAGAAGGGGGAACGAGATACTATGTCGTGGCCACGAGTTTCTAAGTCGTGGCCGCGAGATAGTTTAGTCGTAGGAACGAGATACTATGTCGTGGCCAAGAGTAACTAAGTTGTGAGAACGAGATAAATAACCAATCAGATAACATCATTTATATGAATTGTCCCTTTTAACTAGATATGTGCTATGGTACAATTATGGCCGACCCTACTTCACCTGCCTGTAAAAGTGCCATTTTTTACAAGTTATTGACTTGTCACTACTTTTACATTTAGCATCACTGTGATCCTGATTTTTGACACAATACCATCGAATTTATTAGATGTCATCTACTGATCAGGTGCAATGATCTTTTTGGGTTATATAAACCGTGGCTTATCCCTTCTTAATTATTCATCAGACAAGAAATTTACATGAAGTGTCATGGTTACATTGACCCCTTGACCTGAAACATCCTCATAGGCTATCTACTGTCCATTGGCAAAGTCCCTACCAAATAAAATAAACCAGGACTTATTCCTTTTCATTTTATCGTTTAAACAAGGTTAACAGGCCGTAGTACGTACAAACTGACCAATTGGATCACAAAAATGTACCAACAAAGGGTTATAGTCAAAATTAATGTCTGATGGGCCTTGGAAGGTGACTTTCTAATATGATCCTTAAGACAAGTTCAAAGTGAACATCTTTAGTATTTTCAAAGATTAATGTTACATATAAAAGTCAGTTGTTAAGTTTAAAACAATCATAATATAAAGAGTGTATTCTAATTGGTTATTTATCTCCTGCGCGCACGACTTAGTTACCTAGTTTCCACGACTTAATAATTCGTGGCCACGACATAGTTTCTCGTGCCCACGACTAAATTATCTCGTGGCCACAACTTAGTAACTCGTGGCCACGACATAGTATCTCGTTCCCACGACTTAACTATCTCGTGGCCACGACTTAGTAACTCGTGCGCACAAGATAAATAACAATACACACATGTCACCCTTGTGCCACTGTAAACCACCGTGTTATTATTACTCTATATAAAGTAGCGTAATAAAAAACATACTAGGTTCAAAATAAAAATACAAAAATAGAAATAATCTATCTTAGTAAAACATATACATTGTAGGGAATCACAAAAAGTGTCTGTTTTGATACGAAAAAATACGAATTTGTGTCTTTTAAAGTTTCAGCAAAACAGAAACCTGAATTAATCATATAATTATTTTCAACTGAATGTTTTGATCATTTATTTAAAAAAACATTGACACATTATAAAGCAGATTAACACATACATGAGATAAAACAATTTTAAAAGCAAACAACATAAACCAGATACTTTCCAAATCGCACATTCTTACTGTAGATAACAATGTACAATAGTCAAAACAAATAGATTGTCGCAATATAAGTGATTTTGCGATGCACATGATGCTAGTATCAATACTCAATTTCATGAAAGGAACATGTTTATTTGCTTCTTTATATACACGATTTAGACAATCATTTCTTTACTTAAATACATAAATGAAAAATATCAATTAAAAGTCACATTATATGACAAAGTCCAAATTACGTGATAAATCTAAAAAATAACGAAAACGGATTCATATGGTAAAAAATAGCGGTAAATATATACCGACATACGATATGAATCCCATCAATCTAATCCCATAAGCATTATAAAGATTTCTTAAAATCACAAAAGCAAGCGGTTATATAATGACGCCAAGTACATTTAAAATAACGTAACACAATTTATTTTCTACTTCATCTTATTCAAACTAACAAAAATTAATTATACAAATACTATCATAAACAGACACATAAAAATATATCAATATCTAGTATTTTCAACGATTGTATGTTTGTTTCATTGGGTTTAACGTCGCACCGATTGTCATATGGCGACATTCCAGCTTTACTTGTGGAGGAAGACCTCACTCAGGTGCCCTTCCGTACATTATGCAGGTACGAACGGGCACCTGAGTAAACCACCGACGCTGGATAGCTTTCTCACATGAATGAATTCAAAGTCCCTGTCGGGATTCGAAACCGCAATGGTGAGATGGTGAGTTGGTTTAACGGCAACGACCTCAATGATTATATGTTATGATTTTTTTTTATTTCATCAACATTTTTAAACAACAATAATTTAAACAGCCCTTTTCTAAATATTTGTCGGATTTACGATTTACTGACCTTTACATGTTAAGTATAAAGACTTTGACCAAAAATATTTTTTTAAAACCCATTATTAATCTTACATAGATTAAATTCATGTATAAATCGCATATATAACCTGTGGCCATTTAACAGTCCTGTGATTTTATTTAAAGATTTTGTAGAGAAAATAATCACTAAGTAATAACTTATGGCAAATACTGTGTTTTTATCCTTTCTTTTTGTTGAATAACACTACTAGAGTACTTAACAACATTGTGCGCATTGTGTTGCGTTTTAACTGAACTGGAGTTTTCTTTATTTCTACCGACTACTAGCTACCATAATCATACAGAATACGTTTCAGAGAGGCTTTTTAATGCCGAAGATTTTGTTATATCTTTCCAGGATGAGGGTATATCATCGAACTTATACTGATACTTGTCAAGCAGCCTGTCTTTGTAGGTCGCCACAAACCACATCCAATATCTGCAGGTGTCTTGCATATTAGCAGATGGAGCTATATACCATTCATCTAGGATTGTTTTGTAATCTTTGTAAGGATGCCATTCTTTACTGCATGGTTCTCTTTTTCCATTGTTGCATTTGTAATCAAATACTTCACAACGATGAGTAATATCCGTTTGTACATTAAATTCACACGATGCTAGTTCTGCAATTTGAGAACCAACAAAGCGAATGCCGATGCAGCATAAAGGTCGATGTTGCATGCAGTTGTGATCAGAGTCTGTATGATCTTCATTTTTTGTACATGGTTCACCGCAAAATGGACACTGTTCCTGACATCCCCATATCTTTTGTATTAAACGCCCAATAGGACTCGAATTTTCCCATTGCACAGAACCACTATCCACTTCATTAAAATGGGTCACAAGATCCGCTTCTGTTTCCTTCAAACTATCTAAAACTTTATATGTAAGGTATTCCAAATTTAATGTAGTCTCCGTTTCTCTCTTCATACTTCTGAAATTTTCTGATGGAATAAAGAAACTTGACTCTTTCATTAAGATCTGAAAAATATTAACCCATTCATTCATGGAAATGAATGATTGACTTTTGTTTTTCATGCGTATTTTTTCTATGCACTCCTTTGCAGAAAGAAAGAAAGAACGTAGTAAAGATGATGATATTTTGGCGTATAACATTGATTCTGGTGCAAATAGAAAATGATTAGCCTTATGTGTTATCCATGAACTTGCATAATCTCTGGGAGTACGTATGTATCTGATGAAATTATCGAACTCGTCTTTTTCCAAAAGATCAGAGCATATTTCAATTATAGCTCTATTTTTCACTGAAGGAAGATAAGCATAAAGGTCATCAGTTACTCTATTTGGAAGCGCTATTGTTGTCCATTCTTCAGCAAAACTTTCGATGACGCTGGTAAACAATTTTGAGACATCATCTTCTGTGAAACGGCGCCTTAGATGAGCCTCGAATTTAATTTTCTGTTGTTTTTTATAGCTTGTTAGACGAGCAGCTACACCATAAGTTTTAAAATAGTTGTCATTATGTTTCTCGAAAACCACATGTGCATGCCTAATAACATGTACAAGAAATTTCTCATAGAAAGACATTTGAAATTCACGATCGTTATTCCCTTTAAACTTCTTTTTTAAGTTTAAATTAACGTCACGCAGAAATTTATTTATTGTATTCTCCGTTATTTCTTCTCTAACTTGACAAATTCGTTCAATTTCTTTGTCAACTCTTTCAAATTCTTCATTTGCCTCGGGTTCAATATTCTCCTTTACATATGATCGAACAACATCTTTGATCGTTTGCCATTTTGATAAGCTGATATCGTTTTTATCAATACCTGTGCATTTGAATGTTCCCTTTAAAGTTGTTAAATTTGGCAATGGTGTCAAGCGATTGCTTTTTGTCAAAGCGTCTCTCAACGCCAATTGATTGCTCTTATACGTATTCTTAAGACAAGTATAAAACATGTCGATCGTCTTTTTTCTATTTTTCTCTACATTAGAGGGGAGGTTTTTTACTCTCGTTACAAATGTTTCCCAGATACTATCGAAAAGTTTATCTATTTCTGGTCTGCTTAATGTTTTACCTCGATTTTCAAGAGCAATTTTCATTGACATTCTCCGGAGTTCCTCTTCATGCTCCGCTTGACATGTCACAGTCAAAATTTCTACTGCCCTTTTCTCAAGATCTTTGTTTATTTGGCTAGTAATTGATTGTTCCAATGTTTCACATAATTTGTTTAAACGAAATACTTGATTTTCTTGCCATTGAATGATAATATCTTTGTATTTGTCTTTTTTGAAATATTCTTCGACAACTCTCTCGCATTTTATCTTTTCAGCAAGCAGTACTTCTTTTAAATCTGAATTAAGAATGTCTTCTTCTCTTGATAAATTATCTCCCTGATTACAACTTGCAAATCTTTTTTGAGAAAAATTCAAAATCTTATCTCTTATAAGGATTTCTAGATGAAAAAGTTGATCTTGAACAAAACGTTCCATTGCATTATAGGCTTTGATTTCAATGCTGTTCCTAAAGGAGAATACAAAGTCCTCATTCAGAACACCTTTCCATATGTTATATGCATGTTCAGTTATATCGTTTAAAGATTTGTAGGATTTATCTTTTATTGTAAATGCTTTTTTTAAGATACTGGACTTAATTTCCATTACCCTTTCACTGTATTCTGTATTAACTCTGGCCATAGGAGGATTACCTTGCCATAGGTTTTTAAGATACCATACTTGAGAGTTTATATCAAATTCAATCACGTGATTGAAGGTAGTTATATTTTTAATGTTTTCGCTTTTTGCTGATTCCTCAGTCATTTCATCCAGAGTTTGAATCAATTTATTTAGACCTGTCATCATGTTTTCGGATGCAGAAGTATCTGTTACATTTTGATGAATGAAACAACAGCTTTTCTTTATGTCTAAGTCTTTATTTGTCATTTTCAATCTAAGCAATGCATGGACAATTACTTGAAGTATATCACGTATTTCGCTCGTATTTTCCCCCATTATATTTACCAGTGTTATATCTCCTATTCCAGTTATTGCAGTTGCTAACTCATTATCATGTTCATGACGAATATTACTTAATTCAGGTGATCGCAGACCTTCTGTGTCAATAACAAAAATAAAATTGTAATCTGATAATCTATTTTTCAATTTAGCGGTATCAACAGGTATCAGTTGTGCATGAATACCCCTTGTGCACCTGCCGGTTCGGGTTGAAAACTGACAACCAAACATAGTATTTAAAAAAGTTGACTTTCCAGAGCTTTGCAACCCTAATACGCTGAGTGCAAGGGCCTTGCCGGCTCCAATGTATTGATCAACGTCGTTGATTACAGCTTTTATCCATTTATAAGGCATATAAAAGCTTTCTCCATCTATGAGTTCTAATTGGTGTCCATCAGCAACAAGACGAGCAATAATGCTGGACATTTGACTTAATGGAGGCAATTCTAATGTAGCAGAGTCTTTTTCTAGTTGTAAGATTGCCTCATTAATATGTCCTATTTCACGAAAGAAATGATCTATAGAAAATGATGCTTCATCTATTCTTTTTTCTAGTTCTTTTATGATATTTTCTTGCTTTTCTATGTTAGATTTATCTTGATTTTCATTGCTTTTAAGAAGTTTTAAATTTATCCAAGCTTGTTGATTTTTTTTCATTAATTCAGGCAAAGATTGTTGCTTTTCTCTTGCGATATCAATATGTAACCAGCAAAGAAAATACTTCAGAACATGAAGATTATTTCCATGCTTTATAAGCATTTTAATAAAAAGTTTAACTGATTTCGTAATTGACATTATTTGAACTTCTCTTATATTTTTAATTTTAGCATCAATAGCGTTGCCCCCTTCAAAGCCTTTTTCCCTTTCCCGCTTTTTGATAAGTTTACCTAGTTTTTTTGAATATTTACTATGAACTGGTGTCAGATTTTGCTTCCAAGAACACGATAGACACTCACTATTCATTTGCTTTATCATTTCATTAGATTTTTGCTTACCTATTTGACAGTTTTCGTCTTTTTCATCTATTCTTATTCGTAGGTGTGCTTTGCGTAAGCGTTCCTGATATGATTTAGTGCATTTTGACTTCAATTGGTCTGTTATATGTACTGATATAAAGGAGACCATTTCGACAACGTTTCGTTTTCTAATTTCATTATGTGTACTCAAAACACGGAGATTCATGTTTGATTTATATTTCAAAACATTTTCCCTAAACTCATTTACTGCCTGTGCATGGGTTGTTTCATGTTTTATTGGGTTTGCAATAATTAATATTACTGACGAAAATTTCAGGAGAACATCAGTTACATTTCTACGCCTCTTTAAAATAGTTTCAATATCAACTATTATTGTGAGAGTATCCACAAAGGTTGAAATAAAAGTTATAATTTCTGCATCAAAATGTTGTTGTAAATCACCTCTTAAGTTCAAAAATGTCATTGGTTCTTGAAATCTATCTTTTTTATCCCCAATTAACGGCAACCAAAATATTTCAACATGTCCATTACTTAATTGTCTTTCTGTCATTCCAGAATTGCAGTCAAAATTGTAAAAGGTTTTACATCCATGATCCGAAAGGATACTATTCATCAATTTTGATTTTGAATAGTTGGGTCGACCCATTCTCCCAAAAGCTATCATTTTTGTTGGAAGCTCAAGAATTTCAATATCTTTACATTGAACTTTAGTGTTGCCGTCTTTTGTTTGGTTATTTTGTATTGTTAAAGACCGCAAAGGCCAAACTGAAAGTATTGAAACTTGCTTTTCTTTAGTTTCCCAATATTTATACAAAAATGGTACTGCGATTTTACAAAGAAACAGTTTTTGTACAAGGACTTGTTTCAAGAATGGATCACAACATTGAAAAACAATAAAAAAAGCATCTAAACGACTTATGTCTTGTTTATCATGAGGCTTGTCAGATAAAAATGTCATATTATTTTCTATATCAATGACGCTATTTAAATTGGGTTCATTAGTTACCGATATATCCCTTGATTCACTATGCGAACTTATCAATCGTTTAAGGATTAACCATGGAATTTTAGTTGGACAAAGAGTTCCATGTTCTTTCTCATTCCATTCGCTTGCATCTACTTTAATAATGTCTTTGATTGTTATTTTACCTGGGTATTTGCGAGTCAAACCAAGTTGTGCCAGCATTTGCCAAAATATCTCTTTGCTAGATCCGACAGTGTCTGTAACATATAAAACCATTCATTTATATGTTTATTGCTAAGTGCATGTTCTAAAAATTAAATTGTATAACTTGATAATTTCTATTTTGTCTGCGAATTGTTCCAATAGTTAGGAACTATCATGTCTCTCTTTTCACTTAAAAAAAGTATGGAATATTGTCTCACAACATCTATCGTCCGTCGTTTGGTCGGTATTTCCGTAGACACAACTGTTTCGTTCAATAAACAGAGCTATTGATTCATAACCCCATCCATCAACTATTACATTTTTGACAATAACTGGTCTAAAGCAAAATTTGCCTATCTTCCAGAAACATTTTTTTCTATTTTTATTACAATGACAAGGGGGTTCAACAACAATCCAAAGCTAGGTCTTTTCATTACTAGTAGCTTATTATATGCCATGTTTCATTACAATAGCTTATTCCTTAATCTAGTTATCGACAAGAAACCGTTTTTCTATTTTTGGTTTCAATGACACTGACCTTAACTTAAAGAGATCTGAAAGCAAAATATCAAATTTGATTACAATATCTCATAGCTTAGTCTCGGTATTTTCCGAAAATTAATATTCTTTTATAGGAACACTGACCTTGCTCCAAGGGGATGAGAACACAATTCCAACCACGTTCATCTTATTAGCTTACTATATACTAAGATTTTTTACAATATCTTGACCTTTACCCCAGGGTTTTCTGAAGCAAAACCCAACCAGGGTATGTAAATAAGCTTGTTATATACAAAGTTTCATTACCATATTTCATATCTATCTCTTTTTATTGTCGGGAAAGCATTCTTCTTTTTTAAGTAACAGTGACCAGATCCCTGGAGGTCAAAAACATATCCCAACCGTGGTCTTCATATCTGCCTGCTATACACTAAGTTTGATTACAACGTCACATTCCTTAATCTATGGTTTCTTTGGAAACCCCTTTTGCTATTTTTAGTAACAGTGACCTTGACAAGAGAGGGTCAAACAACAATCACTACATAAGATTGCTATATTCCAAGTCTTATTTAAATAACTCATTCCTTACCTTAATTATTTTCCGAAAATTATTTTTCTATTTTCTTGTAACAGTGACCTTAGCCCAATTGGGTCAAACAGCAATCTCAAACGGGTCTTCATATAAGCTAAAGATGTACCAAATTGCATAACAAAACCATATTGCTAAGTCTTGTCATCGACCAGAACCTATTTTTATATTTCTAGTAAAAATGATATATTGACCTTGACCTAAAGAGATCAAAAGCAATCATATGCAAGGATTTCATTAAAGCTTGCTCTATGCCAAGTTTTATTAGAATATCTTATTCTTAACTTTAAATACTGTCCGGAAATCATTTTTCTATTTTAATAAACAGTAATATTGACCCAAGGGACCCAAGCAGGAGTAAGCTTGTATTATCAAGTTTGGCCCTTTTTATTGTCCGTAAACTAATTTTCATGTATCAGTGACCTTGACCCTAGGATGGCCAAAAATTATCCCAACTAGGATCCGTCACTGATTTTTGTAAAGATTAATTGAAACTTGGTACAAATAGATTATCTTCATACTTAGACAAATCAATCTTTTAAACAAGACCTTCTTAACTTTCGAATTGAACTTGACAATGATCTTTTAGAAAAAATGTCCTTGACCTACAAGGTCAACATACTGTATTTTGGTTAAATTGTCATACTTTTGTTACTTATGCTCGGAAATGATTTATATTTGATTTGTTGGGGTATAATTGTTTCACTTACCATTTTCCTGTGAAGAATCCGGTATTGTTTTATCACATTCTGAGGGCACAGCTTCCGCACGTGCTACAGAAATGGTCTCTGAAAATGAATTTTAATATTAAGAATAATATTTTTATGAAGCTGACAAACAACTTTATAAAGGCGATGACGTATACTAGTGTAACGGAAAATCCAATTTAATGACTAACAGTGAGTGACTATCTCAACACAAAGATAAGAATACATGACTGTATTTACCTTTAAGTGTGTTAAATAACTTCATGTAAAAACCGAATCCCCAAAAAGCCAAAAACGACAAAAATGAAAATGATGCAAGCTCAGTTTGATTGAGCCTGTTCATGGACGGTAATGAAAAATGCCAATTACCATCCATGCCCCCAGCACCGCATAAGCAGGTTTCGAAGTCCGGAACTACATAAAATGGAAATTTGAATGGGTATATAAGGTAATGAAGCCTTCACATTACAAAAAAGACGACAAAGGACAAGTTAAATAAATTGATTATGCAATACTTTAATAGGAATAGTCTAATCACTCAAGTTGAAAAAGTTCACAAAGAGGAATCTTAAATACCACAAACATGGACACACAAAAATTATGTCGTGCTGAACTATATTTAAGGGGAAAAAATAGAATATTTGATTATGTGTACGTTGCGATTTTTTATGGCCTCCGTGCAGTTCAAACCACATATATAATAATATAGAAAAAAAGCAGTATCCTTAATGATTGCCAAAAACAACAAAATATGGAAGAAAAAGTGAAATGTTGCAGGCTAAGTTTGATTGAGCTTGTTCATGGACGGAACTTGAAAACGCATGTTATCGTCTACGTCCCTTAGGACCAGCTTATGCAAAATTCAAAATGAAATTCTAGAAACATCTGAAGATGTGTCTATAAAGAGGATATTATGGAAACTTCAATGTGACGCTTTCCTGCCATTCATTGAAAAGCGCTCATGGGCGTATGAAAGTAACTTTCAAAAGTAGGCACCATCTCTTAAGAGTGATTATACAGAATTCAAGAAAGAATGTACCACAAAAATACCATAAACATATGCACGCCACAATAATATCGTGCAAAAAGATCGGAAAGGAAAGAAAATGTTACATTTTTTGAGAATATGCAAAATTCAACATAAACACACGAAAATGGTGATATGTTCCTATCTTAGTAATCAAGGAACTTTAAATATGACACTTTCATGAAAGTGTAACTGTGAAAAAAAACCAATGGGGGAGGAGATACTAGATAATCTGTTGTGTTATGAAGCCTGCCTGCACATCACAGATAAAACGTCATAAAGCAAAACAGCAGGCACCATATCCTTGGGTCGATTATACAGTATTAAAGTCGGAATACTGGAGCTGCAACAACTTTAAGAAGGTCAGTTAAATACCACAAACATGTACACCTCATAACCTTGCTAAAAGCCATGTTTTGTTAAAATATGTAATTCCTTACTCAAGTAATTGTCCGGAAACTATTTTTTTCTATTTTTGATAACAAAGTCATTTACCATGATCAAAGGCATTCTTAAAGCGAGGCCTTTACATACGCTTACAATATGTCATTGCTAACTGTTGTGATCATTCATCCGGAAACCATTTTTCTATTTTTAGTAATAGTGACCTTGACTACAGGGGTCTTCAAGCAATCCAAACAAGGGCTTCATATTACATAGCTTTATACCTAATTTGATAACTTATCTCATTCAGGACTCTAGTTATTGTCGGGATACCTTTTTTCTATTTTTTTTAGGAACAGTGACCTTGACCTTAACCTAGGGGTCCGCAAACAAATCCAACCGGGTTTTTCATTTAAGCTTGTTAAATAACAAGTTTAATTACATTATCTCATTCTTAACTCATAAATATTGTCCGGAAACTACTTTTCTTTTTTTAGTATCAATGACCTTGACCTTGGTCCGAAGGGTCGTCATATAAGGTTGCTATATACTAAGTGTGATGAAAAAATAATTCTAAGGTCTAGTTACCGTTTGGGATTTGTTAGGGTAAAATTGTTTCACTTAAACTTTAAATCGAATGCTATTATAATGAGCAATCGTTGGTAAAGTATAAAATAAGGACATTTTATTGTCTTTTCATTATCAAAATTACTTTAACTACAATATTTATCTTTTCAAAATAGATCATGATACCGTCATCAATCAATAAATAATTTAACCTGTTTTTTGTATATATTCTGCTTTCTGTTTTTCTCTTTCGGCATGTTCAGTATCTGAATCGACTTTGTCACCTGCAAAAGACAATGTTTTACCTTGTTTAATACTTTCTCAGATTATTGATTATTTAAATATCAATGAAATTTGTTACAAATATGAATTATGATGTTTTGCTCAGCTTTTTGTAAAAGCTATTGAGAACATAAATTTATCTATTTCAAGATTATTTGAAATATATTTCACGTACATAAACTTTCCTGGAGAGAAAAAGATTGGAATAATTTAAAATTAAAAACTACACAGAGAGAAAAAAATGAAATGGTGGACGTCTTAGGCAAATATTTAATATTTGTTATTATTATCTAGAATTATAAATTGTGAATGTAAATGGAAAGGTATATCAAGTGATGTTTCAATATGAGATATTTCAATTTGTTTGTTTATTTGGTTATCCGACGCACCATAACAGTAAAGGTGATATGAAGAAGAAACAGGAAAGATGTTTTCGGATAACCTCGGTTGTCACAAACTTCAAGTAACACCAAGAGTTAGAACCCCCTCACCTGCTGGAGCTAAGAAATCTTACATACGAGTAATTTGAACCCATTAAGTCGCTTTTTACTATTCCACAGGGATAAACGTTGGAAAGATTTATTTTGCCTCAACTATGAAAGGCAACCACCCAGCCACAAAGATCTTTCAAAAGTCATTTGATGAAATGAATTCCGAAGATCCGTTTAAAATGTAATGTTTCTATCGTCACCCTCAAACAACTGCAGGTAAATAACTTCCGAATTAGAAAGTTTTAATATGTGTATATGAACTATAACATGACGTTCATTTTTAATGGTACAGAAACGAAGAAACGAAGCGATGTTGTACGATGTCTTTTCAAAAAAGTGTATTTAAATATGAATTCTTAGATAACATAACAAAATATTAACTCGGAGGCAAATTTTGCATTACTTTGTGTTTGTTTCATGAAAAACAACGGCATCATTTAACGATACACAAACACATTGTCATGAAATTGAGCCAAATCAGGAAGGTCGTTTAGTATAGATATCTGTTAGTTTATCTTGCTTGAATACAGGAAAGTCAGGTGTGCAAGTATGAAATTTTCCTTTAGTTTGAACTTAAATATGACAGAAAATAAAGCATAAAAATACTGAAACCAACAGTAACAACATTCTACAAATACGTCCAGAAATAACATAATTTGGTTAATTTAAATTGCCTGATACGCAGACACAATTTATGTTACACACTAACATAACGAACAATATAATTTTTGGTGCACAAGACGCTTGAAAATTATTTCATATTTTGTGTGCACAGAATTAAAGAGTCGCATATTTCATCGAAAAAAAATTGCTTTACAAAAAATGCTTCATAGACTCACAGATAATGCCTTGAACAATTGTTTGTTTGGTTGGTTTCACGATGTATAAACGAAATTAAGATCATATGGGGGAAGAAAAATGATGTTGGCAAACCTGTGGTGTTAAAGCAACACCAGTAGTTCAAACTACCTTGTCTACTAGAGCAAAGAAATGTATTGATTCCTTTCATTCAACCACTTAAGTCGCCTTTTACGATCACGCAGGGAATAAACGATGACACAATCCTACAAGGCTACCCCTTAGCCACCAGGGGAATGTCTAGAAAATAAATTGGCGGAATCAAATAGCCTTATAATTTAGAACATACTTTGCGGATGAATAAGTTTAGGGAGTTGGTCTACTGGAAAAAGCAAATCAATAAATATGCATACAGCAAAAGAAAGTTGCAGACAATAGTTAAATCAGAGATGATCAATCAAACATTTGTATAATTGCACTTACATATTTATATATTGAATACTCAAACTGATTAAATAAACGAACAAAAAATATATTTCTGGTAAGGTTTAATACCGTCCTTTTGGCTATGCTGAACAAGCTACCCAGTGACTAACGTCACTTTGAAAGCACTCTTACATTAAATGTTGAGTGTTAATTGTTTAGTAAATAGCAATACAAACAAACACAAACTGATCTAATGATAATTTTTGTTATGCGCTCGGCAGAGTGCGATAAAATGTCCTTAACAAAATGAAGTTGAAGTTCTTTCTTTGATAATTGACATTATGTTGAAAATCCCCCACAACGAATACTTTGCTTATGAATTCAAATAGAAACATGTGGATTCGGACAAGTTTGTCCTTCCATTTCATTTGACCTGTTCACATACAATTCCACCTGGTGTTTTAATTAACATATTCAGAATTGCCAATTTATTTCGATTGTTATAATAGTGAATGAAGCTGATATTGGATAATACCAATTTGCCTAAAAAATAAAAATACTGTCCCACTTTTTCGATATAAGTTAAATAAAACAGGTAAGTGAAGACAGATATTAACAAAATTTCCCTGAACATATGTTTTTGTGAAGTAAATTATACAATTGAAAGGAATTATGACAAAATGTAAACTTATTTTGCCTGTTCGCTTACTGTAAACCCTTGAATGAGCATGTTACTTGTAGTATTTTTGAAACAACTACATGCTATTTATTCAGACATAAATATGTTCAGTCCAAATATTAAATTCAAATCATTTAAATTCTTAAGGTGTTTGTTAACAGACAGATTAGTTGTTTGTTTAAATTAATCAAGAAATATGTTTGTAGTAGGTAATGATGATAATAAAAACATGTATATTTTCAGCAAGCGTTTTAACATTGTCTAAATGATAATTTCATTTACCATTTTCTTGAAAGGAATCAGTTTCATTTCCATCATATTCCGTAGATATGGTTTCCTTATGTGCAACAATAATGGTATCTTATATAAACAATATTAAAAAACAAGAACAAAAAAAAAAAAAAAAATAGAAAAAAATAACGTTTAATAGTTATAAAGTTAAGAATATAATAATGAGCAATCGTTTGTAAAGTATAAAATAAGGACATTTTATTGTCTTTTCATTATTGTAAATTACTTTAACTACAATATTTATCTTTTCAAAATAGATCATGATACCGTCATCAATCAATAAATAATTCAACCTGTTTTTGTACATATTCTGCTTTCTGTGCACAAAATGAATACTATGCTTAGAAATTCAAATAGAAACACGTGGATTCGGACAAGTTTGTCCTTCCATTTGACCTGTTCACATACAATTTCACCAGGTGTTTTATTTA